TTCACTGATTTTTCAACTGTTTGCTTCACAGTGAATGGCTATTTATTTACTCATTTCTATGATAATATCTGGGTATGTTATTTAGAAAACACGCCTGGGTGTTTAAACACAAATTACATTGCCTTTGCAAAATTCCACTCAGGGGGTTTAACAGCAAGAAAGAGATCGACTACACTATATATTTAAAATGTAATTGACTTTATGTTCCTCACTGCTTTATTACTTACTGCTAGGTTAGATTGAGAGATTTTTGCCTGAGCTCCTAAAATTTAATTTACAATTGAACAGAGCAGACTTTATAAGCAAATTATAGGAATACTGTTTTTTTATGTCTCCCACTATATTTAATTGTAAAGTATTCATATAGACAAACTGCCAATCAATAAACTAGAGGTACGCAAAGAATGAAACAAATTATTTTGCAAAAAAAACCAAACAAACTCAAAGCCTTCCTCATGGCACGTGGCCTGTAGGTTTGTGTCTAGGATTCTGCGATCCAAAGCAGCTTCAGGACTCCCTCTCTGGACTAAGAGAGCTTACAAATGAGTGCATCATGTGGTCAATCTGAATTCAGAGGAAACTCAATTGCCTGTTCTCTCATAAAGACAATGATCTAAATATAGTTTTCAGCTGATTAAATTAATATGGAGGGAAAATAATAATTTAGTGCCCAGTGCACAATTTTAACCCCCAATATGAAGGAGTTAAACCCCAGCGATGCCCTCTGGGGTACAGAACAGGAAAGAGATAAATGGAAGTCCACCCAAGTAAACAACCCTGAGTTAGACAAAACAAGCAAAAAAATAAATAAAATTCCTGGAAACAGAAAATTATCCAGCTTATTGTGGACTGGATTCAATGCAATGGGCTGAATCTCAGTTCTTCTGCTGACCGGCACTTTATACTGACAGCTACGGGCAATTTGGATCACTTGTACAAAGGACCAAGACGGCCAAATCCTCGCTGTATTCCAGTTGGATGGAACAAGGAGAGCCTTCAACCTCATTGCTAGTCAACCGAGAATGGCTGTTCTCACACTATTGCAAACACTTGGTCTCCATGGAAGGGGGATACCTAGCAGCAAACATTGGCAACAGAGGACATTCCACTCCCACTACATTGCCCACAATGACAGGGGAAAAAAATCTTTAAGGCTTTTTTTCCCCTTTTAGAAAACCTTCTGGGAGATTTTCCCCAACCAAAAAAATCTGCCCCTAGCACCAAAAAGCTGTGAAAATAGGGATGCATGCTTAAAAGTATGTGGGGGGAAGGGAAGAAAGCATCCTGTTTCAATTTTAAAAGTATTATGTGAAGAGGGAACATCATCCAGGGGTGGGGAACATTTACCAGTCCAAGAACAAGGACATGATTTCCCTTTAAAACATGGCCTAAGCCATACAACATTCAGCTCTGGATCCAAAATCCATATGTTTACAGGTGATAGACCACCGGGGTTTTAGGTCAGGCCAAGTTCTAAAACAAAATCTTATTAGCATTTAGAAACAGTTGTACTTTCAGTGGGATAAAAATCAACAGCACTTTTAAAAAGCCATCAACAAAAGTGAATAAAGAAATGAGAGTGAGTGGCTTGCCCCTAAAGAGGTTTTCAAAGATGGGTTCACTCATGGATAAACCCCATTTTCATATTAGCATGGAAGAGGTAATTTCCCATTTGAACTGTCCTTTACAATTAATAATCTGAAATAAAGAAGCATTGCTATACTTTTAATATATTGATGTTCTGAATCATTGTCAGATACCTGGCATCATGTCAAAAAAAACAAATCCGTCCCTGACAGGAAATCTGGAGGTTTACTTAATTGTTGTGTAGTGCAGAAGAGCCTTGTTTGTGGACCAGAAGAATCTAATTGTGAGAGGCACTGTACATGGACTACTGTATCCCTGTGTGTGAAGTTTACCCCCACTGACAAACTCATCATTTCCTGCCATGTTCAGCAGCAAAAAAAGAAGAAAGCAAAAAGAAAGGGAATTTGCAAAAATCACGTGTTTTACTGACATCATTTGGAAAGCATGGCACCAAACTGCTGTCGTCCTGTTACCACATGCCATATGAAGACAATTGGCTTAAAAGGGGGAGAAGTGAGGAGAAAGAGAGAACCAATGTTAAATTCCCTGTATGTCTATTCTGAGAGTCTTGGGACTGTTTTATAAACTGAATGATTTGTGCTAATCAGGATACATCTAAAAGTGCAAGCCTTCATTTACAAACATAGATTTTATTTATCCCAGACAGATCCCTACCAGATGGCAATGTTTGCACACATTGTTAAGCCCAACTTGAAGAGCCCAGGCATTATGAATCATTTTGCATTTAAAAAACAAAACAAAACTTTAATTCCTTTTGGCTATTATTATGAGTGCCATATATTCCATCATAACTCCAATGGAACTTGACAAAAGTGGTTCAAAGTGTCTTCCTGGAACTCCCTCGAATGTAAAGAAGTTAAAGAATTAAAAATAATCTCTAAAGACACCGTGGTCATATAACGTCATTTGGGGAGGCAGCAGAGATAAAAGGACTTACCCACACTTTCTGTATGAATCTCATATTTATAGCATACCCTCTCCAGGCACTCAGTCTAGTAACCTATGAAATGTGATTTTTTGAACTTAACTCTCAAGTATTTACAAATCACCTGCCCTCTTACACTGTTGAGAACCCAGGCATTCAAATCACAGGTAAGGGATGGCTTACTGACCCAGCTATGACATTCAGCACTAGAGTACACACCATACACTCAATTCACAGCTGCTTGATAGTCTGGTTGGCAAAAGCCAAAATAATCTTTGCTCCGTTTCCATGAGCAGAAGAGAGCCAATGATGTCACATGCCACCTTGGAAGTGCAGAAGTAGCATAAAAGACGGCACACCGGCTCCATAGCTTGCTGCTTGTGCCCTGGGACCCGATTCAGCACCCTGCCAATGGAGAGACTCAGTCTCCAGCCAAAACTGAGGGTCACAAAGATGAAGCTGAGACAGCGGCCACCCTATAAATTCACAACCAGATTCACAATCATTGCATTCTGCTTCCCTGATGAGCGGTGCTGGGGATACAGCAGTGCAACCCACAGACATTTGCAGGACCAAGACAAGTTCTTGAATTGGGGCATCAGTCCCCTGGAGGATAATGAATTAAGAGGCTCAGGATGGTTTCTAGTTATAGTTCTGTACTTCGTGACCATTATTATGATTCTCATGTGAAAAGAAAATTAGTAAGTTTTATGGAAGTCACCATTCAAAAACCATCCAGTCCAGGTAACCCAGAAAGTCTAGGCCTGGGATAAAATTCCCAGTTGTCTCCCACTGCAGACAGGGCAGCCAAACAGAAATACCAAGGTCTGCAGATCTCAGGAGATCCACTGGTTTGAAGGATACTGCCTCATCACCCCATTCCCAGGGAGGTGAACAGGAAATCTCTCTCACTTCCCTTTTGGCCCCCTCTCGAAAGCAAAGGAAGATGAGCAGGAAACGTAGCAAACTCAAACATGGCATTTCCTGCATTAGCTACAGCAAAACCCAGCTGAAAGGAGAAGGCTGCAGAAGCAGCCAGGTCTGCTTTAAGGGGATGGTATGCCTTTCAATACAGAACCATGATGCTGCAAGGAGAGGAGCAGTCCCTGCACCCTCCGGATAGAGTATCGCACAGCTCTCGCTGACACACAACACTGGCAGCTCTCACACCGGACACGAAGGGCAGAGCGGGGGGGGGGATCAAGTGACAAGCACACAAGACTAATATAATAGCACACCTGGACCACAATGTACCTGCAAGATGGTTGGACGCTAATACACGAGAGAGAGAGAGAAGCGAACCACAAAATGTATCGTTGCCCTGCTTTGGGCACGGGGTTTCATGCAGATGTTCATGCTGTATTGTCACTCCTAGGTATAATAAAAACTTGCTGCAATCATTAACTTCGTTTAGGCTCTGTACAGCCCCATGCACATCAAAAGTGCCTGACAATTAAATATCCTGTTATAGACAGGCCCACACCTGACTTCTTGGGCATGGGTGACCAACCTTTTACATGGAAGAACAGACAGTAGAAACACTTCTGTCAATGTATAACTATTTTCAGTGCAGTGACAAGAAATCTAGCGAAAGCCAAGATGATCCCGGCGCACGTATGAAGCCACTCTCCCGCCCGCTGGCTAACCAGAGAGGACTACAAGGGGACTGAATAGCAGCCTTCAGCTCCCTAAAGGAGGGCTCAGAAGAGGATGGAGCTGCTCTCAGATGACAGAACGAGGAGCAACTAAGTTGCAGCGACGGGAAGCAAGTTTAGATTAGATACAAGGAAAAACTTTCTCCCTAGGAGGGTGGTGAAGCCCTGCAACAGGTCACCCGGAGAGGTGGTCCCAGACAAAGCCTCGGCCGGGATGACCTAGTTGGGGCCCGTCCTGCTCCGCGCAAGGGGCTGCGTGAGCTGTGACCCCCCTCCCCGGTCCCTGCCCACCCTCCAGAGGCAGAAGCAATCCCGCTGGGAGTGTCCCTCAAACCGCCCCCAGTGCCGGCTGCTTTCCCCGCCACCAGCGCAGGGCCGCGACCAGGGGCGTGGCGGTTTT